AAAAAAAAAAAAAACAAAATTGCAAAAATGTAGAAACAACGGGAAATTTTAGTTACAACTAAATCCACAATCCTTGAAGATTGACGTCTCCACGACGATCCCTCGAAAAATCCAAATCGTTGTACGATTTTCTCGAACTTTGAACATTAGGGCTGAACGATAAAAATTCAAGAAATCCTAGCATTTCTCGAGGTTCAATAAAACGTACGGCAAGTTTCCAGGAACAATTACAAATCGGAGACTTCAGTCTCTAAGAGAAAATTTTTTTAATAATGTTCAGAGATGCTTGAACTTTCCAGTAGAGAAGTATCCTCTACACTAAAGAAAAAAACGAACTTAGGACACGCATCTAAAACGATCGCGAGCAAATTCTCTTTATCGATTTTCTCTTACAAACGGTCTAAATTATCGACTAATTTCTCGTCGATATCCGTGATCGCTGTATTTTAATTCTCTCGACCAACTCCGCCAAATTACAACGAGACCGACCATGAATTAACTGCACCGAGAACCGCACGGTTTACGTCAGCCGTTGACCGTTCATATCCGAGCTATTATACAACTGGTACTGGCCAAAGTTATCCGAGCTTAGCCAAGCTTGTATCGGCGAATGAAAAGTGAAGCAACAACCGGCCAACCAACTCGCTTAATCCGTAGCTAATACGTGACCGAGGCCACGGTCGGGCAACGTAATCGCGAGAAGCAAGGGAGAAGGACGAGCTGAAAGTCGTTCGTCGGCCGTTCGTCGTTGCTGAAATCCCGAAAATGCGGCGGAAATTTCGTGCGGTTCGGAATTTCCAAAGTTTCGCCGAACGAGAGTTTAAGGCTATACCCTATACCGGATAACGCGACACCGTGGTTTTTCGTACGTGCATGGAATTAGAACCGGAGGAGGATCGCGACTCGTGTTAATCCTCCCCGACGGACAGACCTTTCGCGATCTATTTTACACGGATACGGGGATGTGTACCACCGGTGGTACACGCAGTCATATTTATTTATTTAATTTATTTATTTTTTGCAATCGAGCTGATGGCAGCGCCAC